TAAACACAGATCTGTCTAATTCCCCCCTCTGAGATTCTGTGTTCCCCGAACCACTGCTGGTCACAATTGGCTTCCTATTAATTCCGTCTGCAGGGAGAGAATGTGTCAGACTTTCAATCTTCAGATTTCTGGCCTATGTGACCGTTGTAATTCTCATCTGTAAATTAATTAATTTGATTTGATATGTTAAAAACACAGGCCATCTAAAATGAATTTGCTGAGAAAGAAGCTTCTCAGGCTGCATTTCCTGAGGCTGACCTCAGACACTGTCATTCCTTTTTCTAGATAAAATTTATTTCTTACAGTTTTTAACTGAAAAACAAAACAAAAACATGTTAAGTAATATTTGGGTAGAGTGGGGGGGGCACCCATAAGTCTACTACCCTAGCACATCAACTATTTTATTTGTACCTCCTAATTGCTGTCCATATGCACAATTTTATTGGCTGCCTAAACATATCATTTCGTATTCCGTTCTGCTCGCTTAAGCTAGTATCCTAAGTACATTTCCATGTTTCTGCTTGGTTTTCATGATTCCATGGGTATCTTCACAGCAAAGCTGGATAAATGGGTAGACACCTCACTTTAAAATAACACTTTTCAATACGTTCTTTAAAAATCACAACACACTTGGCAGACCTCTGCTTGGTGTAGAATTGTATTGTAATGAGACGATTTATGGCTGGAGTGGTAGCCAGCTAGCTGAATTCTACGAGAAGCCTTGTTCTCCAAAAGGATTTCCTTTGAGGGTGATGCCAGCTCTCCAATTGTGCCTGAGCAGCTGAAAAGGAAAACAAGGAAAGCCGTATTATTTTACAATTGTTAGTATTCCAAAGGAAATTTCAGTATGCCTGGCAAGGCAGACAAAGCTACAGATGTCCACTCTTTTTCCGTATACACCCAGAATGGTAAACCTTTCTGAACTTGATAACAGGATACTCCCTTCTTTCTTCAGTGCAGAACAACAAATGGGTCCCCTTTTGAGGAAAAACCACAGCACTGCTGTCCAAAGAAAGTTGCCCTTTGAAACACATGATAATTCAAAGTTGTTTCTGTTTAGACTCATGTTTATGGGCTGACTTTTTTTTTCAGGAACATACTGCCTTCCAAAAGGGAGACAGCTTGTAAGTTCCCTATTAAAATAGGGAACGTGCTTATAAATTCCCCGGGACTTAGCTATGGGGTTTATTAAAGAGAAGAATGAACTTGGAAGACCTTGGGTAGATCTTAACATCTCAATGCATGTTACTTCCTTCAAGTGCTGAGCAGATAAAAGGTGAGGTTAATGTGATGAGAATTTTATATTTCGGATGAAAACGAGAACCTCAGGGTAAACTCTTAGACATGAGTATGAACTCAATGTCACGTCACACTTGGCATGCTTTGAAATATTTTGAGAAAATGATATACTGCCTTGTATTACTGTGATTAAAACTTTATTTGATAATGTCTTTCAGACACCAATTTTTCTTTGTTTTTTATAAAATTTATTAGAATGGGAATAAGAAACTGAAGAATGCATTTATATCCTTAACCTTTTACAATACAGTGAAGCTCGGAAGTTGCAGTTTTAAAGATGCAAAGGACAAGCAGTATTTCTTTCTTAAAATTCTCCCCTGGCCCCACCCTTCAGAGGATTTTCTCAAACTTGTAATAAATGTTTTTAAAGTAATTTCAAAGTGCTGTGTCGGTTGCTTATAGTGCTTTCCTTCCAGGAACTCCCACTCTTAGGAAATTTAGGTTCTTTCTAAAAGGAAGTGAATTGCTGAATATCTAAAATTTTATTCAAAGTGCCTGTTATTGCTGGCAACTGCCCTGTTGAAACTTGAAGTCAACATTTTTAGTGTACTTTTTTGATGAAAGAATTGTTTATACATTTTGGTAATATATGGTAGCACATATATTAAACTAATTTAAAATTATAACAGCTTTTATTGAACTTAAGATAGGGGAGTGACTGAAATGAAGCTGGTGAATTTTTTTTTCCTTACAAAGTCATTCATTTGCTTTGTAAAATTTTTTTCTTTCTTTGTTTCTTCAGATATAATTGACTTATATTATTGTTTGGTGTACAACATAATGATTTGTATTTGTATATATTGTGAAATGGTCACAATAATAAATCTTAGTTAACATCTGACACCACTCATAGTTATACATTTTTTCTCCTGGGATGAGAACTTTTAAGATCTACTCTCTTAGCAACTTTCAAATATACAACACAGTATTATGAACTATAGTCTCCATACTGTGCATTACATCCCAGGACTTATCTATTTTATAACTGGAAGTTTATACCTTTTGATCCCCTTCACCCATTTCCCTTACCATGTCCACCGCCACTTGTGGCAACCACCAATCTGTTCTCTGTATCTATGAGTTCTTTTTTTTTTTTTTAAGATTCCACAATAAGTGAGATCATATAGTATGTCATTTTCTGTCTGACCCATTTCACTTAGCATAATACTCTCAAGGTCCCTCCATGTTGTTGCAAATGGCAAGGTTTCATTCTTTTTCATAGCTGAGTAATATTCCATTGTATATATGTACCACATCTTCTCTAGCCATTCATCCATCAATGGGCACTTAGGACTTAGGTTGCTTCCATGTCTTGGCTATTGTAGATAATGCTGCAGTGAACATAGATGGGTTCATATATCTTTTTGAATTAGTGCTTTCATCTTCTTTGGATAAATACCCAGAAGTGGAATTGCTTGGTCATAAGGTAGTTCTATTTTTAAGTTTTTGAGGAGCCTCCATACTGTTTTCCATAGTGTCTGCACCGATTTACATTCTCACCAACAGTGCACAAGCGTTCCCTTTTCTCCACATCCTGGTCAACACTTGTTATTTCTTATCTTTTTTGTAATAGCCATTTAGCAAGTGTGAGGTGATATGTCATCATGGTTTTGATTTGCATTTCCCTGATGATGACTAGTGATGTTGAGCTTCTTGTCACATACCTGTTGGCCATCTGTATGGCCTCTTTAGAAAAATATCGATTCAGATCCCTTGCCTATTTTTTAATTGGATTGTTTTTTTTTTCTTGCTGTTGAGTTCTATGAGTTCTTTGTGTATTTTGGATATTAACCCCTTATCAGTTACACGATTTGGAAATATTTTCTCCCATCTGGTAGGTTTCCCTTTCATTTTGTTGATGGTTTCCTTTGCTGTGTAGAAGCTTTTTAGTTTGATGTAGTCCCACCTTTTTTTTGAAGCTGAAGAATTTTTAATTAAGTCAATTGGCTAAGATGCCTACTATGCACAAGGTTGATGGATTCTAATGGAGTTTGAGCTCATTTTCGTACTAAGACAATTAACACCGGAAGTTAAGAGCTCACAGAGTGAAAAAGGACTTTGCATAGGCCCATCTCATGTCCGTAACTGGCTGCGTTGGCTGATTTGTGCAAAATGAAAATCCTTTGCACTGAAGTTTTTCCACAATTTTTACTCTATTTCAAACCTCTGTTAGAGTGTTTATGAGTTTGTGAAACTTTTCTTGATGATTTTCCTCAGAGCTGGGGACTGCTGAGTCATTATTGTAACTCCAATTCAAGAGACTGTTTATTTTAGCTCCATCCAAGCAGGACATGCTGCTTTGGTTCAGGGAAATCTGACTTGAAGGATGATGGGTTGGCTTCTTTAGAGGAAGGCTTCAGAGGATTTTCTCATGGGAGCACAGGACAGCTTTAGATGCATTGATGGTTTGAGAATTAAGCCCTGCTGAATGAGAAAAGAAGAGGCTCTCCCATGTTTCCTGGAGAAAGGGCTCACTCATGAGAAGGGACCCTGATGGCCACTGCAACGAGGCGAGGCCAGGATCTGCCCAGGCGCATCGCATCCTTCCTTTGGATCTGCATGAAATGGCTGGTAGCTGGGGAAAAGCGAAGGTGGCTTGAGTGGGGCTACGGGGTCGTCTAAACATACAAAGGCTGGAAGGAACCTTATGGGTCTTCTGGTCCAGACAGTGGGTTGGAGCCAGTTCATTCTAGGTGTTACATTTCCAGGAATTTTGCATGCCAGTTATAAAACATAGCCATTATTAAAATGGAATTATAAAAACATAGAATGAATAAGTGATATTAAAAACAAAGGTAATATGTACTCAAAATCCACCACTTCCTAATTATGTTACTCTACTTATCTATCATCTACACTCTTCAAGTTATTTATGTCTGTTGGAAATAGTCAGTGTGGACGTGACCATAGCTTGAAATCAGACATTTCAAGATAACTTGGGGTATAGCAAGACCATTTTGGTGAGAGTGGTGGCTGACATCTGTGAAAAGCCTTGTTCTTCAGAGGATTTCCTTTGAGGGTGATGCCAGGGCTTCAGAAAATGCAATAGGTTAAGAGGGTTTTTGGTTTTTTTGGCCCAGAAAGCCATTTATTAAATATTCACCAATACCCACTGGGCCGAGCCCACTCATTTTTGTGTGTGCAACAGGGGCACGGAGATGAGCGAGGCTTGTCCATAGTCCTGGTCCTGAAAGAGGAGCTAGGAGGATTCACACAGAAATCCAGTGCACGTGCCAGAGGAGTGGTTGGTCACCTGCTCCCTGGTGATCAGTACCTGAGACCAGTCCAAAGGTGACAGAGGCAGGACACTGAACTCTGTCCGTCAGGCATGGTGATAAAATTATTGAATGGAAGAGTGACTAAATAATGACTAACACTTACCGCCACCTGCTATTATGTTGTGCATTTGCTCATTTATTTTACATCTCCCCCGTGAGAATGTAAGCTCCCTGAGGGCAGGGATTTGTCTTGTGCGCTGCTGTACACCCAGCTCCCAGAATAGTGCCTAATACATAGGAAGTGCTCAATAAATACTTTTGAATGATTGAACCAATCCTGCTGCTTCTTGGCATTCTGTAGCACCTACTCCTCGAGGAAATTTTGCCAGAGGAATGTGCCTGGTAGAGACCATCATGGGGGACCCTCTGACCACTTGTCAGGCTGCTAGACTCTCAGTGACCATCATTTCTTTCTCCTCTCAGATGACGGAGGGCCGTCGATGTCAAGTACATCTTCTTGATGACAGGAAGCTGGAACTCCTAGTACAGGTAAGTGACTTTTAGCCAACTTTTTAAGTTTATTCTGAAACTGTTGTGGTCCAGACTTTGATTCAGCTGAGGGATGGGGGAGAATATAAACTGTGTTTAAATCTATGTCTTTGTCTATTAAAATCTATAAGAGGAGGACTAGGACACACCCTGATATTTTTGCGTGTGTGATTGCTATTTTTGTTCATTCCGTTTCTTTGTATACCACGCCTAAGGCAGTCAAGGCCAGATGTACATCTAACCTATTGTTGCAAATCTCTAGAAAAGGAAATTCCACAACTGCCATTAGCTATTCTTTCTGCTTGGAAGAAGTTAATTATAACATAACCTAAATAATTCTTGCTGCAACTAAAACTGAGCGAGTTGTCTAGAAAACAGTTCATTATTTTCAAGTTAAGCTTTCAGAGATGTGAGGAAAGAGAAGCAATCTCTTGGCTCTGTCTCAGTTCTAAGAGCCGAGTAACCCCCTTACCCGATCCCAGGGGGCAACATTGCTCTCTTTGTGGAACATCTGGAGAAACTGACACAGGAAATCAATCCATTTATCCTCAAACTAAGAACACATTAGTGTCAGAGAAGTCGGAGAAGCAATTAGAACCATAGTCCCTGGTCTGGTTTAGCCTGCTCTTGAAAACGCCACTGTTTCACACAGGGCCCTACAGAATGGTGATGTTTCCAAAATTGATTTAAAGAACTCCATTCCAAATCTGTTTGATTCCTGCTTTTATTACTGTATTTGCTTGATCTTATCAAATGTCAATCAGATTCTTAGGGCAGTGCTACTTCTCATTCATCACGTTTTGCCATGACGTCATCAGTAGTTTGAAATGACACCAACACGCTCAATTCCCTGGGGGGAACGATACTGCTTCTGTGGGAAGATTCATATATAAACACTGTCATTTTGTGTTTCCTTATACATGCTGCTTGGATTTCAAAATGTTTCAATCGCTAACGTAAAGAGTTAATACTTTTAATAGGACTTAAATTATAAAGGCATTATAAGTGCAATGTAGGAAACAGAGGAAACGGGGAATATCACAGCACACCAATTCAACTACTAGTCTCATTTTGCCAGATCTCTATCCAGTATTCTTCATATTTATATTTCTTACATGGTTGTGATCATAATGAATGCATAATTCTATATATTTTATTTTTCCACCTACTACTCTCTTTTACTAGCTTTTTCCAGGTTATTTTAAATTGTCATCTGTGTTAATGGCTGCATATATCCCAGAAATGGATATACCATTATTATCTAATCATTCACCCATGTGTTTACATTTAATGGTTTGGGGGGTTTTTTGTTTGTTTTTTTGTTTTATAATTTTCCCACTGTGACAAAGAAATACTGGAATTAATTTATCCATGTGTGTAGAGTTCTCCCACATTTTTTATTATGTCCTTATTCGGCTAGAATCCAAGGCCTACAGCTTGGGTTGTGGTATGGATCTGGGCTGTGAGGGAGTAGAGGGGAACTGGAGTGCGTTTGATCTCGTCACTTAGCAGGATCATGAGCTTTAACAAAACATTTGGAATGTAAAGTTGTTAAGAGTCAGTGGGAGTTTGCAGGTGAATGGTCTGATGTGTCTTAGATGCTTTTTTTAATATCAAGGCTTGGAGGCTTAGAAAGCAGCTGACCTCTAAAACAGGAAATGAGACCTCAAGTGACAGTGAAGTGAATGTCTCTTGGCCAGCTTGCCCTGGGAAAATATGAATGGAGGCATCCGAAGAGGACTTAAGTCACAGAAAAGATATTTAATTACTAATGTGCACAGTCATTCTCAGCCCTTCACCATCTAGAAAAAGTTGAATTAGGCAAACAAGAGGAGTTTGTATTCTTTCCATGCCTTTTTAGAACAGGCTTCACATTTTATTTCCTCTTCCTAGAACACTCTCTCTCCCACCCCCATGCCTGTATCTGTCCAGTTTCTGTTAAATCTTCAGGTCACAGCTTAGAAGATGCTTTTCCCCCCAAGGCTTTCCCTGGCCCAGACCTCTGCCCCTCTCAAGTCTGGGTGTTAACTGCCGTCTCCTCCCCTAACGGTTTCCCTCTTATAGCACTGTCACAGTTCATTGTCACACTCACTGTCAGTGCCTGTTCACATGTTGCATTTCCCAGAGCCTGCAAGAAATTAAGGGCTGGGTCTGTGCCTTGATCACTGTATCCCCAGTACCCAGCCCAATGACTGGCACATATGTCACTAAATAAATGACTCCTAAGGTGCCCTGTTATTACTTCCCCAGAGGACTTCTTGCTACAGAATGATTGCTTGCTAGGGGATTTAGTTTAGCACCAAAAACAAAAACAAAACAAAAAGATAAAGAAGGAACGATTCTGAACTCCCTTCTACATTACTGCAGAGTAGGCTTCAGCAAAACTTGGAAACATAAGGTTAAAACTATTGGACAAAAACCAACATAAATACATAACTTTTCTTTCTCCTCCACAGAGTCCTGTTGTCTGAGATTATGTACTTTTGACAGAACCCTTTCTAAAGGGAGTCCTTATTCTCCAGCTCAGTCTGGACCCATCTCTAGGTTTTCAATAGCCTAAAAATTTTGACCTCATACCCTTCTCTTAGATTTAGTTTGTTGTTTGTAGTCTCTTAGTTTGTTGTTGCTGAAGTGGTGGGAGGGGTGTTGAGAACGATTTCAGGTTGTTTGTAATAAGCCTTAGACTCTGCAATGCCTTTTACAGTCTTTTGATCTGGAGTTGAGGAGATGGGTGATCTGGATGCTTTGGCATTTACCTAACAAGGTTTACATGATGGAGAGTCAGGTTTGGAGGAAATGTTTATCTCCCACGGAGAAGCACACGGGTTTACACAAGGGTGACTGCCTGACACATTCGTGAGTAGCTGCGGAGTTCGGAGGTCTAGTTTTTCAGTCACTAACTGTGAGGGTAAGAGACACCTCAAAGGCTATACCTCACGAGTGTTAGAGACTGAGCTGACAGAATCGACAATGAACAATTGCTTCCTACAGGAGGATGCTGGTAACCAGTCAACCACAGAGATAATTTTCTGTGGTGGTGTAGACCTGAACACAGCAATGGTAGCACTTCCCTTCTCTGGGTTACAGAGCAAAATGGCCACAGTTCCAACATGTAATGCTTTTTCTATAGTCCTTTGAGATTTCCAAGTGGAATCTGTGCTTTCAAATCCCTGATTGCCCCGAATAAATCCTACGTTACCTATGGGGGGGTGGGGGTGGGGCAAAGGTCAAGAGTGCCCTGAGTAAATCCTACATTACCTAGTGGGGAGGTGAGGGGGGGCAAAAGTCAAGAGTGAACATACTAGGATTTAATATTTGAAAGGCTTATTCCTAAATCCACAGGAAGGTCCCTGACACCCAGGACATTACCATGTGACCCCTTAAATCCTTAAATTTCACTTAAGGACAGCTGGAGTGATGATGTGAGTATTCAGTAACAAATCAATCTTAGTTATTGATACGGGGGCAGATTGTCCAGCCAGATCACCCTACCATCCAACCCAGAGATGTCTTTTGCTCCTTCGTCCAAAATTATTTCAACAAATTAGAAATGTCCTCGAAAAAGTTTGCATCAAAACAAGAGAGGCCACCATCATGTAAATCTCTCAGTCAGCCTCTTCTTGAGGCTTCCTGAGCCAGATAACAGGGTGTCATGCATGTTTTGTATTCAACTTCTCAAGCCTTGTCTTCATATGGTTACTCCTTTAAAATTACTTTCTTTACTTTTTTCTGACCTGAATGCATATTTAAGGGAGCATGTTGAAAGCAAAGAAAGGGAAATGTGGTTTAGCCTTAGTAAGAATAATTTAAGATCAAGAAGAATTTCCTGACAGTGAGGGTCAGTAGATGGAAGCTTTTAATAGAGAAGGTTCCAGCTCTTTCTCTTGGGTGACTTAAAAATAGAATAGATTTTCACTAGATTGGAATGGCTGAGGTGGGCCCTTCCTTATTAGGTTCTCTTGAGGCTCATGGTACTGTGATTCCTGTCTTAACAGGAGGACAGGCCAGGACAAGAGAATAGACATGAACCTTTTGCTCCCAGAGATGCCTCGTTTCAGGGCTTCCCCCAGCACTTCAGAGCAGATATTATGATCTGTTGGCACAATGGCTTCCCATTGGTGATAGAGCTTTTTACAAATTGGAGTCCTCTCTGTCCCCCCAACTACCACAATAAACCCTGCTTCTTTCTTTAAATTAGATTTATTTTCCAATTATATTAGTTTCAGGTGTACAATGTAGTGATTAGACATTTACATACCTTATGAAATGATCACCCTGTTCAGTCTAGTAACCACCTGGCACCATACATAATTATTATCATATTAATGACTAGATTCCCCATACTGTATTTCACATCCCCATGACTGTTTTGTAACTACCAATTTGTAGTTCTTAATCCCGTCCCCTTTTTCACCCAGCTGGTTGCCATTTCGATCTAGCAACCATCAGTTTGTTCTCTGTATATGAGTTTGTTTCTGTTTTTCTTTTTGTTGTTGTTGTTTTAGATTCCACATATAAGTGAGATCATGTGGTATTTGTCTTTCTCTATCTGACTTATTTCACTTAGGATAGTACCCTCTAGGTCCATCCATGTTGTCGCAAATGGCAAGATTTCATTCTTTTTTATGGCTGAGTAATATTCCATTGTATATACGTACCACAGCCTCTTTATCCAGTCATCTATCAATGTACACCAAGGTTGCTTCGTATCTTGGTTATTGTAAATAATGTTGCAGTGAATATAGGGGTGTGTATATATTTTCTTGTTTTGTTTAGAAAGCTGCTTGGCGATGTGAGGCAGTATTCTAGGATTACTGAGTCTCTCCCCTCTGACCCCCTTTCTCATTGGGCATCGGCAGCACAATTATAACAAGAGAATAGACATGAACCTTTTGCTCCCAGAGATGCAAACTTCCGTTAAAATAGAGGAACCAAGTGTCCTGTGATTCTGAGAAGTGGAGCCAATTTCAACTAGTCAGTGTTTTTCAAAAGAATTAAAG